AATGGTGAATTTTCACTAAAAACTGTCTAAATCATAAAAAATTCATATCTTGCAAAAGCTTTGGTTTATAAGCCTAAAAGTGTCGCAGTGAGTAGACAACATCTATCTTCAACTGTGGTGTAAATTTTCGACTCCTAGCTGATCATGGTCGTGAGCTATTAATTAATTATTATTAATGGCATTTTCATTAATTAACTCATATCTCCGTCAAAAAGGCACATGGGCCCAAGCCAACTTGGGGTTTTCACTACTGACCATTCCCTACATGATGAAAATAGTTTGAGTCTAAAAGCTTTTAGTCACCTCGAGAGGTTCCCTTGTCAGATTTGCTTCTAACTAGTCCTATCTTGTTCAGCATGTGTGAGAACCTCCAAATTTTGAGCCTTCTAGGACTTTTACTTTCTGAGTTCTGGACGATTTTCTAGAGTCCGCTCGATGAAAAATTCAGCGCCTAAAAAATGGAGAGCAAAAGTAAAGATTCTGCTTCTCCGCCAAGACAAGTGATGGAAGTGGGATTTTTTCATCCTATGTAGTCCATTGCACGGTCTATCCGATAATACGATCAGATCGTTTTTACCCCGGCCCTTCAGCCGAAGGTCTTCTGAGGATCTTAGGGGTTTATATTGTTTGACGCCGTTCTCGAACTTCTGGCTTAAGTATACAACGAGATGCACTTTTTGATAGACATTCAAGTGTGGACTATCCGGTCTAAAAAGTTTTGAGTCTTATAAGGATCTCTGGAAAGCCTTTGGGGGTTTCGAGAAACCACTTAAGTTTACCAAAAAAGTTTTTAAATTATATAATTGGAAAGAGCACAAAATTCTGAACAAAACGAGGTATTGCTATAGGTAATTACGAGGTAATTAAGACGTATTGCTATCGCAATTGCTTTAAAAAGGTGAGAAAATAACAGATGTTCAAGCAAAAATGGTTTACTATAAAAACCTAATTTTTAGGTTGTCGAATTTATAGCTTAGAAAAACTGAAAAACTATCAATGATAATTCATTTTGTTCAGAATTTTGTTCTCCACGTGCTACAAATATAAATAAATCTAGTGATGAAGGTTCACTACAAAAACAAATAAAACGTCCATTATGCGATATTTCATATTTGTTTAAAGCAAGAGAATTATTACGAAACAAATTTGTTGTTTATAGCTGCTCAGTGACAAAACTGCACTGGAAGTCTTCGAAAAAAGCCGAAGAAAACATGAAAGAAACGCTGTTTTGAATTTGTGTATTCATACCAGTCATTTCATATTTCCAAATGAGTCCAACAGGATATTCAAAAGAGTCAGGAATGTTTTAAGGGTGAAGACTCCTCTGGGACTCCAAAGTGAGTCAGGACGGAGTCCTGCAAGATTTCTCATTTTTGAAGGACTCCTGCAGGAATTCACTCAGGACTGCCGACTAGGGATACGGTGACTTATTCACGATTGAACGACAAGCAGAAAAAAAACTGCTGTATTTTCGCGAAGCGTAACAGATACAAGTGGTAAAATTCAACGCACAACGGATTCATCAGTGAAACAAATAAAGAATCCATAATGAAAGAAACAGATGACAAAGAAATTGAAGATGAAACAAATCAAGAACAAGGTAAGTTCTTGAAGGTAATGTAGAGAATAGCGTATAGTCTTATTTCGATTATTTTTATTCATATCGAGGGTATAGCCTCAGAAGTGATTTCTTTTCTGTCAGTTATTTATTGTTGGAGACATCGAGGAGCTATATACTACGATTAGCAGAGAACAGATAAGCTCTCTTTACTTGGTGGAGACACTCCTCATTATATCCACATTAGTTTGAACTCCAAATTGTGTGGGATTATGAACGCTGGCATCAACATGTAGAGTAAAAGAAGAGACTGCTTGCCACCGTAGATCCTACTGTGAAATGTGTGTATCTTAAGTACAAATGTAACAATCGTTCCATCACTTAAGATGTCCGAGAACAAGGTGATTTCTCGTCTGTGAATAACTTCCGGAATTCAAGTTATCATCGTGTGCAAGTAACGCATGTGGCGTTAGATCACAAATTCTACGTTCTATATGCTTTAGAAGGAGATAAATTGGAACAATTACAACAACAATTACGTAATATTTTCAGTCAATAGTCACCAATCGATGGTCACATGCCAAAGAAAAAAGAAATTTTAGCTGCACGTTTTACCCATGATGAATGGTATCGTCGCGTATTGATAGAATAGAACAAAATAAAGTTTATGTCCATTTTATTGATTCTGGTAATTGTGAAATAATTACTGATTCATCATGTTTAACAAAATCACCGTCGAATTTCATACAGTTAGCAACACAAGTACGTGAATTCGAATTAGTCTATATAAAACCGTCAATCAATGAGGATGATCGACAAAAAGTAAAACGTGTTTTGAACGATAAAATTAATAATGAAGAATATTTATTGAACATTGAATATCGTTATCAAGATGTTAAGTATATCTCATTGTATAACGAAGGCACAAAAGATAATTTAGCTAAATTGGTAATTAAATATGGTCTCATTATGGTCAATCAAGTAAAACGGCAACAAAAACAGTAACATTACTCATCACAAATCATCGATGGTTATATTCAAGCCCAAATATCAGCTAAAACAAAACGATTAAATATTTGGCAGTATGGTGGTATGCAAAAGAATGATGGGATCTAATTGGGTCATATACCTAAATTATCTTTTGTGCTTTTTCGTTATACAATGAGATATATTTAACATCTTGATAACGATATTCAATATTTAATAAACATTCTTCATTGTTAATTTTATCATTGAAAACATGTTTTACCTTTTGTCGATCATTCCCGTTGAATGACGGTTTTATGTAGGCTAATTTGAATTCATGTGCTTGTGTTGTAATTGTGTAAAATTCGGTGATAATGTTGTTAAACGCGATAAATGAGTTCGTGTATGGGATATAACTTCTGAAATCTATTCTAAAAAATTCATCCTGACAGCCAAATTTATTTATGTTCTACCCAAAATGCTGAATTTCAAAATTAAATGTTAGATTAAATTATTAAAGGAAAGTTTGAGAGTGGAGGAGAAAATGATCCTGATAGGTATTTTAATCTCTTTAATATTTCATGAAATAGTTCAGATCTATATTTGTTTTGTTAATTATTAACATATCACATCGTTTCTATTGAATAACAGTCGTAGTATAAGAACAAAAAACTGAGAAGAATACCATTCCACTTAAACCTGGTCTTGCTTCAAATTAAACAACTGAAAATAATTTAACAGAGATATTGTTCAAATATAGTTCAGGTTTTTTTCTAATAAAAAATTCACAAATTTCTTATCATTTGGACTAAACGTTTGACCGTTATGAAAAGAGGAGAGAAAAACCAATGATCTGTCCAGAATAATATAAACAACGATTATTGAGTAGTTGAACATCACTGAGGTATAAGATTCTTCCTACTTTCTCTGTTTACCTCTGATATTTTTAATAACCACCTTAAAGTTTAAGCAAAATTTCTAATATTTTTAGAATTGATAACTGAACAGTTTTTCCCTTGGTTTACCGTCAATTCATGTTTTCTGTTCTTCTGTTCTCTTCCATTACAAAGATGGAGTGTAAACTGCAATTTTATTTTGATCTCTGACGACAAATTTCTGTTATTTTTCAAATTATTTTGCAGAAAATCTCAGCTTATGAAAAATTCTTTTGGTTTCTGGCAATGCCTTTTAAAAGAAGATCTTTTTCACAGTTTTTCGACGTATTTTTGCTTAAATAATCTCAGAAAAGATCGATACTGAAACTTATTACATTATAAATGTCTAATTTTGTCTGGTGGGTTATACGATTTGATTGTAATGAAATCGAAAGATTAAGACTACACAAAAGAGAAATTAGATGAGCTCAGATATGATTCATTACTTCATTGCTGATTTAGGCACCCTAGTCGACGTTTCCCACAAAATTTCTCCTGTTAAAAACTTCCCTGGCAGTTTTCTGAGGAGTCTCGACTCGAGTAGTGCGTGCATTCTATTTCCAGTTGGGTCAGCAACCACAGTTATTTTCTTTACTCTATATATTTAGGGAAAGGACTGGAAAGTTTTTTGAATTCTGTTTATGAAGACTACTAGAAAAACTGGCAACTCTGTTTGATAAAAATTTCCTCTTATGTTTTTCTCAGTTCTAGTTGGATCATAAAACATAATAGTTGAAAAAGAGACGAGAGACTTCTTTTATTGTACTTGATTTCCAACTAAATCGTCAGAAAATCTTTTTGAAAAAACACTCTGTCTCAGAAACTTTGTCATATCGTATGTTTCATAAAAAACCTAGTTTAATCTAAACTTTTTTATTTTCCCAACAAATCGAGCTAGCTCATTACATGTGGGTTGAAGTTGAACAAATGTGAGAATAATAACAAGAGAAAAAAGAACAACAAGTAAAAAAACGAAAGAAACAAGCAGAGTGATGTAAAGTTAAAAAGGAATTTTATCACATCAAGGGAAACGTTTTTGTTTCAGGAGTCTGCTAGGAGTACAGTTCTACTTTGGTGAGAAAAGAAGGGTCGC